GAGAGAGAGAGAGAGAGGGGGGGGCGCGGTAGCCGGTAGTGAGCTGTAGCCCTAGCCTTCGGAGCTCAGGCACCCCTGGCAGCCGGATAAAGGTCCGAGGAGAAAAAAAGACGGAGAGACAGAGATTTTGGTTTAGGTACTGCACCGTTGCTTTGGGGGCTTGTGATGCCTGCTGGGAAAAATTGGGGGAACAACCTCCCGTCGTGCTGGGGGGTCAGAGGAATACTCCCATGAAATTCTGGACTTTCTCAACCCCAGATTGGCTCAACACTGAAGATGGCGAACGTGTACCTACAACTCCTCCGGTACCACCCTTTTCAACTGGGGGAAAATGCACCCTTTTCCGTGGGGGAAGATGGAGAAGAGGCTGAGGAAAAGACGCAGCTGGGGGGGGGTGGGGTGTAAACCCCAATTACCCCTAGAATGGCCCTGGCATGACGACCGACTTCTGCCTCCAAGACGGCGAAGACGGCTGAAACTGGTCACCAACGAGAGGGGTCTATAGCGGCAGAGTCAAGGAGGCATGGAAGGTTCAGAGCAAATTGGCCTTCCGTGCAAAGCGCCGCGACCTCCGACAGCAAGGACGATCCGGGGCGATGCGAAGGTACAGCCAGCAGGAAAGAGCGACGTCTTCCAGACACTGAGAGCTGAGCTGAGTGCGGGAAAATGGGTACACTGCAAGAGTTGCGGAGGGGCTTGCCTTTCCTTGCGTACGGGGTTGTTGTTTGTCCGGTGGATTCTTGGGGGGGGGGGGCTTCCCCACCGCAACTCACTCCCAACTTGTTGCATGGACCCCCTGCTGCACAAACCTTTTCTCTCTACAATGTAGGCAGAAAACTGTATGACAGCCTGCTTCAGCAGATGACATCGCAAACCGCCTGCCTTCCTAGGTGGCTGCCGACCTGCAGCACCTAGGCTCGACAATTTTGCGCACATTGTGTCGTAGCTTGCTTCGGCAGATGACGTCGCCACCTTCCTGCCAACTTATGTTGTTGCCGACGTGCAACACCTCGGCCCAACGATTCTTTTAACTTTTTCTTGAAACACCAGCTTTCCTAGTTGGCGATTAGATGCGTCTGTATTCCAAACCGCCTGCCACCAGTGTTATAATTCAGGGGGATATTCAAGTATTGAAACTTTTAGGTCCGGCCTTCAGTTACCTCCTAAGGGGAAACCATTCTATGTTCGTTGTCTTTAAGCTGTCGTACTTCCATATCCATTCTCGAATCCGTGTCCCCTGATCAGTCTGACGTGTAAAGTTCGGGGGACTTGACTTGTAGATATTCGAAAAGGAAAGGAAACAGGGTAATTCTCACGGCCCTTTTCCTCGAGCACACATGTTTCTGGGACAGTGTACGAATTGCCCAGCTTCGCTACCGTATACTTCACGGCTTTAGTCTCCGGCGATTCTACAGTCGTTCCTCACCCCCCGTCCCGATCAAAACGTTCGGTGGGCCTTTTGCCCGGTGGCTTTGATCGGCCCCTACGCCCGGGAGAAGGACAGAGAGAGAAAGAGAGAGAGAGAGAGAGAGAGAGAGAGAAAAAAAAAAGAGAGAAAAACACCACCCGCTGCCGCTTCATAATGCACCCGCGCACCAGGCCGGGCTTAGTATTATGATGCCTCAAACTGGGATGCCCAGGGCGCGGGCCCGCCCCTGCCCAATGCACGTCAGCGACTCGCAGCCCGAACATGAGCTGGGCGGGCGTTCGAGACGCACCTCTGAAATTTTCCTTGCGTCCCCAGTGCTTCTGCTCGCACAAGCGGGGCACCTTAGCCGAGCCGCCCGCGCCATCAACGTCTCATGCGTCACGATCTCCCGCGCCCAGTTCCGTGTGCTCCTGTTGCAGCACTCGCGCATGCCCCTGCCGCTGGCACCGTGCAGATAGCACTTATGCTTGCCGTGGGCAACTCGACGCTCTTGGCTCTCATATGGTGCTGCCTGCCCCGGCAGGCATGATGCAACAGCAGGGTTTTTTTCGCGCTTGAGTTTATTCACGGCATCGTCAGGCACAGCAGACACGAGACAAATTGTCGGCATGTGTCGGGAATTTCGATTCGTATATGTGAACTTGCATTGACCACATGGAAGGTCTGGAAGGCAACCCTAGTTGTGTACGATGGATCAACACGCTGGAACCATGTTGCTGCCAGCCGAGCGGGAACCATGGTAAGCACTCCTGGACGTCATAACAACAACCAGCTACGGTTATGCAAAGTTGCGCAGCTGGAAAAGGGGCATGCGACATGGCATGTTTGCAGGAAGATGCTATCCCGAGCCCTTCAAGCAGTTGCGACGTGTCCTTGCGCAATTGCAGACAGATGGCTTTCGTTTTTGGCATCGATGTCGGACACGTTGTGTTTCTCGTGGAGGTGGTCAGCAGTTCGGTTGTTCTGCAGAACCGGTTGTGTTTTCCTTGATCCCCGCCATTGCACAAGCCCGGCAACAACAGTGTCAAACTACCAAGGTGGCTGATGTCACGATTGCCGTTCCTCAAGCGGTGCGGGGAAGATATCAGTTCGATCAAAGTAATAGAACGGCAGCGAGCTTACGGCGTTAGCTGCGGCGTCAAGCTCAGCAGCCATTTGTTCCTTGTGCTTGTTTGTTTTGTTCCGACAACGGTTGTTGAGGCATCCTTTGGAATGATGGCCGACAGCTACGAAATGCAGGAGATGGTGAAAGGCAAAGCAAGCACATGGTCGTGAAATGTCCTGAGCATGTCCGGCGTGCTACCGCATCATTCCAAGAGCACGACATGGATTTGATGTCTGTTTGCTATGCCAGAATTCTCGACTGGTGGATCCCGGCGAGAATCGGTGGCCGGAGCGAAGATCGGGTTGAAAAAATACGTGGAGGACGGGAAACATGAGCTTAGCACGTGGAGCTGGGAGGTGTATCGATAATTTCAACAATACTTGCCGGAAGACTCGTGTCAAGTTGGTGTCGAAGGAAGAAGACGTCAAGGAAACCATGGTGTCGAAAACTGTGCGTTTGTTCACAGGCTCGTGTGTTTGCTTGTTGTGGTGGTTGGTCGTGATCATTGTTAACACAGCTGACCGTGCAGGCCCGGACATCAACAAAGAAGTCCCAGATGTAGACGACAGTTTGCTCAGCAAGGCCGGCATCCGTGGGGTACGGGAGCAGAGACGGCGAAGGTAGTTGGGGATGTTGCGCATTTCATGATGCAATATAGGATCCAAAAGATGTCTTTTCGGGTATCGATGCATGTGTGCAATCATGAAACCCAAGGTGACGTCAGCTTGCGCAGCATATTGAGTGACAGCAAAGGCTCGCCGCGTCGCCACGGACTTTGCCGGGTGGCGGGGCCCTTAAACAACACGCGCCATGTAGGCAAGGCGATGCTAGCTGCATTGGGTTTGATGACGCGTTTCCACTGTCAGCCATCAGGTGGGATTCGTTGAAAGAGCCAGAACGCGTTGGTTCTACACACAGAGCGCTAGCTCCTGGGAATTCATTTGGGGTTGAGGTTTGGAAATGTCTCGAAGTTTCGCACCATTTGTTGGTGGCAAAGTGAGTTCGAGCATGGGCTGCTGTCAGGGCTTCGGCATTAGTCACAGATTAAACAGTGCGCGATTCTTCGGGGCTACCGGTAGAGTTTTTTTGTTTGCATGCGCTGCGCTTTCACACAAGGAATCCAGATGGTTCCGGGTGACGTCTGCAATGGCAGCTGGGTTGCAAGTCGTTCTTCGGAAAGACCATGCAAGAGGATTCGGCCCATGCCGCTGCTGGGATCAGGTGTTCTTGAGCGTTCTTTTTTGGTTCATGTTTCCCCGAGGTTATTGTCATCAACGCAATTGTCGTGACCTGGTTGACCGACTGGAGCCTGCAAAACACTGGCCGAAGCACCATGGCTACTCGTGAATGCCAAATTTCGAGGATGTTTGCCTTACAGTGAAATCGAACGCTTATGTCCTGTTTCAAGCGACGCATGGCATCAGCATGGTCTACCGCTTGTACTCTAGCATGGCGTGTGCTCTCGCTCGTGATTGTTTGGCCAAGATATGCCTCCGGGTTTCGAAGTTGTCGACCTCGCGTTCTTGCTTTTCTACGCCCCTTTGTTGCAAGTAGGTTGTTCTTTGGTCGTTGCATTCAATGGTCGCATGTGGCATGATCTGCATGAATCTTCCCGGAACTCTGGCATGGTAATCTGGCGGTGCTTGGTTCCACGTCTCTGCTGCAGGCGGCGGAGATCGGGATGAAGTTTTATGTGCACAGAGGCACGAGCGCCAACAGCCCTGCACACACACACACACAAGATTAAACACTAAACCATGTTCGAAACACGGCCTGAGTTTGAGGGTGAGTTTGATGAATTAATCCCCGTGCAGGATATTACTTCGCTAACGAGAATGCGGCTTGGAACATCTTCGAACCTTGGAGCATGCCATCGAAGTGAAATTCAATTTCGTGATCATCCGGTGTACGCTGCAGTGCAAAAGTCGGATGTGGTGCCAACCCAGTCCCCGCACGAGGATTCCAGCCTCCACGCTTCACACAAGCGGACCGAACATTTTGTACATGCCCTCATGAGTCTGCAACCAATATAAGAGAAGCGTTTGTTGTTGTTAGTTATCAATACCAGTACTCCAGACAACTCGAAAGCATGGTCACGGCACTTTGCGAAAGTTCAGTCGCTTGATGACCTGTATGTGTTGCATTAGTGGAAGGCCGTGGACATCAGAGCAAATAACTCCGTACAGGTGCCTCATGTCTCCCGTACACCGTGTGCAACTGTTGCAACAGCATGAAAGCCTCATGTCTACTGTACCCAGTGTGTAACGGCTGACACAGTATTCCAGCCCAGCAAAAGCTTGCTTGGAAGTCTGATTGCTAAGGACCTGATATTGGTTATTTTTTCTTCCTTTGATGTTGCTGCCAATTGGCCCTCGAGCTCCGATGACGAAGCCCCTCCGAACAACTTGGGCTACATGAATCTTGGATGCAAAGCGGCAGCGGGAGAGAGAGGCAAGGCAAGAGTCGGCTTCGTAGTACTCCTTCCAAAGAGCTAAACCAACCGCAGCAAGCAGCCAAGGCGTGTTTTTCGCATGCACGGCGCTCAGAATTGAAGGGGGCCTGGTATGGCCTGGTCGATTCGGATGAGCAGGGAATTCCACGGCTAGCGAGGGCATGAGGAGTAGACACGTGTCTTGGACCGTCGGGCTGGTGTGATTGATGCACGAACGTTTTGCCAATTTCACAGCTCAGCGGCGGATGAGCGGAGTGCTCAGCGTCTGCTTTCAAAGCCGACGCCCAAGCCATTGCGTGTTACAGCCTACAGCTTGTAAGTTACTTGCAGAACGACGGCGTCAATAGCCACAGCAACAGCTGCAGCTAGTGAGCTATATAGTGCAGCAACAACCCTAGCTAGAACAATCACACTTAGGACGGCAACAACAGCACCACTGCCGCAACCACAGCCGCAGCCGCCGCCACCACCGCCGCACACCACCGCCGCCACCGCCACCGCCACCGCCACCCCCACCACCACCACCAGCAGCAGCAAAAGCACCAGCCATGATGTCGGCAACCATGACAGCAGCCAGAAACCACGACAACCACGACGGCGACGATAACGAGGAGAAGGGGGAGGAGGACGACGACGACGACCTCGATGCCAACAACGACAACAGCAGCAGCGCAGGAACAGCAACAACAACATTTACACTACCAGCAGCAGCAGAGTGCACGAAGAGCTACTGTCAATGACAAGACCTGATCACAACCACAACCACAGCAGCAACAACAGCATCAACAATCTTCACCCCAACACAACACAGATTAACACTTTCACGTCTGACATAAGTCGACAGCAGCAGTGCAACACCGGCAACAGGTGGTACAGTCAAGAATGCCACTGATGCCACCGTCCAAGTGAGGCTTAGAAATATTTTTGGTGCTTACTGTATCAGAGCAACTACACCAGCGGCATCAAAGTTTCGCGCCATCCTCGTACACCTCCTCATTACCATTGTCGTTTTGTCTAGACCACTCCAGCCGCAAGCAAGTCCACGCGCGACGTCAGCGCGGTCCGTCGTTTCCACTCCTGATTTACAAAGCTGTGCTTTTGCACTTCTTGTCGAATTGTCGTCCTCATTGGTCTAAACTGCAGACGCATCGTTGCCACACCTCATCATCCTGCTCAGTGCCACGCTCATGGCATGCATCCTTTCGTGAGTCGATTCCATCCCGTCTTGTGCATGTCTTGAGATGTCAAAGTTAAGAGATCTTGCGCTTATATAATTGCGCATATGTGTGTGCAGGCATTGTGTACAGAGAGAGGGAGTAGTTGAATATTGATATGTGTTCATATGTATGCCATCAAGACAGTAAACATTGAATTATGCAGGATGTATGCATGCATGCATGGATGCATGCATGATGTACGTATGTGTGCATGCATGTAGGTTTGTATGCATGTGTGTGTACATACAGGCTAGAGTTAGTCATGCATGCACCGGCCACGATCTTCGTGAGGTTCAAGTTCGCGAAGATTCTCCGAACGATCCGAATCATCGCCTTTGTGCGAGAGTGCTTTGGCTCGGGTTTAGAGGCTCGCAGAAGCCATCATGTAAGGCTAAGCAGGCGTTGAAGTTGACACCTTTTCGGATTTGGAGGGTTGTGGAGCGGCGGAGATAGTTGGGACCAGTTGAGACACTGTGACAAGGATGATCGGTGCAGCGCTTGGAAGGCCAAGGTCAAGCATTGAACGGTGTTTGTTTCCGATAAGTATTTTTTCCAATTAGTTTGTGTCTCTAAGTCTCTAAGATGAGTTGTGTCGTGTCCCAACTGAGGCTTTCGATGATGCTGGAGAGCCGCCTGGCCTGTGCTGGAAGTAGCAAACGCGAGTCAGCTGCACTGTGGATCAGCTTAGACAGAACAAGCAAAACGGGTAGGTATGCATATATCTTACATGGCTAAATGTATGTATACATGCTTTTGTGTGAGCCGCATTAGCAGTACTGGGGCAGACTCCCCTGGTTTGGCTCCTTGCAGAAGCAGTCAGCACAGATTGAAGCATGCAATGAAAACTGTCCGTGTTGCTGATTTCATGGACAACACCGTCCCGGCCTGAAAGCCGCATAAGCATAATGCATACAGGTTTCAGCAGGTACGGGGACATAAGACATGATTCAGCAGAAGATAAATTTCCCAAAGTTTCATTCAAGTAGTGGTTCTGGCCAGGTCAGGAGCTAAACAGGGTCCGCCCTCCCTGGATCCCACACTCTTCGTGCTACCGACGGGATAAGTCGACGTCCCAGTTACGATTTCTCTTGGAAGCTGGTCCCCCGACCTTTTGCCAACTTTTGGCATTCAGGGTTCTGTTTGGTTTCGGGAAACCGGGCTGCACAGTATCCTTTGTACATAGTCGGCCCCTTACACCTAAGAGTCTCATGGGTTCCGGAGGCTCAGGTGTACCGAGCTTTGCAGACAAGATGTCAATGTGGGAGCAGCAACAATCTAAGAGCGCGGGTATTACAAGGAACCCTAAATACGAAACTCCTAATGTCAAGAAACACCATATTCCCAGATGCACCTTGGGTGCTGCAACTATCCGGTGCTCCTCAGGCTTCCGACAATGCGTCATTGCTATGTTTTGGGGACTGGTGCTACTTTTGTTCCTCCTGTACGTGTTCGCTGCTTGGCGAGAAATGTCTACCAAGTCCCGAGAGCATGTACTGTAAGGGTTTTCAGCCTGCACTTTTCTTAAACTAGACATCAGGCACCCTAGACTCCTAAACACCTGCTGCTCCAAAGGTGTCAGACCCACCATCCCCCACCCTTCCATATTGAAAGTACCCGGCCAAATAGTTTCGGAGTATACATGTAGATTCCGTTGCCATGCGCTTGTCGTTCTTCAACGGCAACGTTTTCGTGCGCTGCATCATCATGCCCATGTCCACTCTCAAAGCTTCCTGTTGCCCATGTGACCTGTCGTGCTCATCCTTTTGTCCATGGTTGTCGATGTCAGCACCATCCATAATCAGCCGTAGTCATTATCCTTTAGCTGGAACTCCCCAGCCCTACGAGTTGCAGAGCCAACAGCCGTGCAGTAGCCAATGAACCGTTCAAGAGTATGCTGTTGGCACATGAGGCTTGAAGCAATGGGTGCACCATAACCTGCGCTCTACCGACGAAGTGCTGTTGTTCTTGATCTGCACCCGAAATATCGTGCTGCTACTCATTCACAAGGCACATGAGCTATGGAATCCCTCGGCCTGTGGTCAGCGATGGAGAAATCAGAACGCTTCACCCAATGTCACCCATGAAGCGTCCCTGGCTGGATGTGCAGAAGTGATACCTGAGGTTCATGGTGCCCTATCAAACTTCCATATAAGAAGTCCGCAGTGATTCCCCGAATGTCACATGCCACACAGGCATTGGTCTTCGCACAGGGCGTCGCGAGTGTGTCGGCTCATGCCGCTTCGATTATCAAGCTTTCAGAGTTGTCTTCCCGCCCCAAAACCCTAACCCCAAGCTGCAGAACTATCTTTTGACGTTGTTGTCTGATGCTAGCGACAATCTCACGACTCAGAACCCCGGCTGAACCATTGAGCACTTGCAAGCAGTGGCTCCGGCCGAGCACCATGCTACAGCTTGATGCGATAGGTCTTGCAGCTGCAGGCAAAGTCTGGTCGACCGAGCTCAGGTGGGTGAAAGGACCCAACACATTCAGGGCCAAGTGATCGCCCGTAGCTGTTGCGTGGAGTTTCTGCGGGAGTAGTTGTGGGGATTAAGGGTGAGGCTTGGAACCGTGTCCGTGCTAACCCAAATCCCGAAGCCTTAGCCGCTGCCGAGGGTGGAGAAGTACGCGAGGAGGTGATGTCTACCTTCGGCTCCGTGGGGGATTCTATGCTTCTCGCTGAAGTTCATCATTTGGGCCTGCGCGTTTAGGCTTGGAGGGTTTTGCAGCCTTTTACCACAGCAGTGGGCTCGTGCGAATGCACAAGAGCCCATCAAAGCAGAAGCTTGAAGCTTTCGAGCTTGGCATTGTTGATTTCCATTCCTTGTCCTTCTTGCGGCACAGTGCGGATATGTAGTGTGTAGCGGTAGCTTTGCATTTGAGTTACACGTAGATTGCATCGGGATGTTCGCCGGTTCCATGCTGTCTTTTTTCAAGTTGATGTGTGTCGTGTTCTTGTCGGGGGCCCATGCTAGTTGCAAGCGCCGGCCTGATGCTGTCGGTGTGGCAGGCAATCTCTGGGCAACCGCAATGCTATACTCCTTGGATGATGTGCACCTCCATGCAGTGTTGCAGTTCTTACAAAGCCAAAGCTATAGCTGGCACGTTGGCATGAAGGAAAGTCTCCGTCCACATTGGGACACGTGCCTCAAGTGGCCTGTCGTTGTAAAAGGGTGGCACTCAATGTACACAAAAAACTTAAAGCGGAGAAATGGGACATAAAACGAGACCAGGTGGATGGCATCGGCATAGGTCCTTGTTGCTAGGAGTACCCAGGGCACAACAGGGTTGTGGAGCTTTCTGTCGCTACAGTGACGAAGAGCGACACTTTCACAGATGACAGACAGATCCATAGCTTGCGCAAAGAGCGGGATACCGCCATCTAACCTGCAACGCGAACTAGAGCGAAGCCATGCCAATCAAATGCCCCAGCCATCGAGGCTTTCCCTGTACATGGCGGTGACAGGAGGGAACGATTGGTCGGTCTACTACGAGGACAGCTTCGGCTTTGCCTGTAGGCTTTCTAGGCGTTAGGGGCTTTGGGGTTAGGGCTAGTAGAGTTTAGCGTTAAGGCTTTCAGGTCTGTTGTGTCCAATCAGACAAACTGGAGCTGCTTGTTCTTGAAGGCATGTGAGCGCGTCGTCAAGCTGAGGCCACCCTCGCCATGGGCTCCTTCTATCCTGTGGTATTCCTGTCTTACACCTTCTTCTTCATCTTCGCCTTCGGGCTGCAACTTAATGACACATTTTTGGCTGCCGAGCTAGGGTTTTGGGTTCTGAATATAAGTGCGATGTGGATGGGCGAACATTCCAGCATGCAGCTCTGTCCGACGCTGTCCCCGTAATCAGTTGGACTGGACTTGGCAGGAAAAAACCCCATCCAAGCGAAAACCGCCGCGGTGGGGTACAGGGGTGTCAGGAATACTTCTCGTCAGCTGTTGTCCAGCTTCAGCTATAGCACAGGATGCATACCTTATGGATTTTCCCAATATTCTTATATATTATATTATATCCACTTCCCTCCATTTTTGACCCCCTTTTTAAGGCGCTTTTCAACATCCTCACGGGCGTTTTCGTGGAGCGCGCGGTCGCTGCTGCCCTGCCGGACCGAGAGGAGCTGATCGCGCAGGAACGGAAGAAGATCCTGCGACTCGGGGACAAGGTATGTGTATAGGGTTTATAGGGTACCCATGGGCTGATCAGTAGTTCCTTTTGTGGTTTATATTTAGAACCCTATAGGGCAATCCCAAAAAGGAACTACTTAGGGGCCTATGGGTAGGGTATAAGGAGCTTGAACCATCAATAACCAAGGCCTAAGTCCGAAACTTGTGACTCGGGGTGCATCCTGCAGGCTTTCGGGCATCTAACCCATCTAGACTCTAAACGGTCTATCCGAGAGTCAGAATCTAAGAAACAGCCCAGACCCTCGAAACCCTACAGCCGTAAGCCATAAACCCTCTTCAAAACATCCTACCTCTCTGAGAGTCTTCGGTATGATAATCTCTCGGGTGAAGCTGGCGAGCTGTCATCGAACTACGGTTACCATGGCAGACTGGCAGTCGCAGTAACTGAGGTAACACGACCTGGGTGGTACGTTTTGGAATGCATCATTGTAGAATCATGTCGCCATGCACACAACACTTTCGCCGATGTCTGCCTGACCGCGTAAAGAGGCATGTCGGCTCAGTGTTTTCGCATGACACTGTGAGAACCACATGGACGACAGATCGCGTAAACCCAAAGGCTATCTAATCTTGCAGCAGAGTACTCTCAACACGGTGCTGGCTGCTAGTAGCAATGACACTCTTGCAACCACATCAGCGCCACTGCCACCATTATGACTGCGGCAACGACGACGACGACTACTACTTACTACTTCTACGTCTAGCCATTCCACCTCTGAAGCTGCTACTGCTGCTGCTGTTGCTGCTATTACTCCTTCCGCAACTAACGATCGAAGACGACGACTGTGATGAGTAATGTGCCGACAAGCAGCAGCAGTTGGTGGTTAGTGGAGCAGCTGACAATCTACACTGCTCGAAGCCCGAAGCCGCCAAGGAAGCAGGTGGAGGACTTGCGGGCACTCTTCAAAGCTTTGGATTCGGACCGCTCCGGGAAAATCTCCAAAGCAGAGTTCTTGGCGGACATGGAGGATGACCCCTCTCGGCAGACATGGTTCGGAACTGAACGCTTCAGAGAGTTTGTTACAAGCGTTGTGCTGGCGGCGTTTCTGCTGGCAAAGTCACATACATCGCTCTTTAGTGATTTCAGAAGTGCGGTGATCTTCCCGTAGTCCAGCCAAGGCAGGGGATGCAGCTTGAGTCTCTAATGCGTCGGAGTGGGGCGTCAATTCCGCACGGAGATGCGCTGACCTTTTCAGCAGGTGCTGGAACAGTGTACCGACGAGCACAGAAACTCCGCATGAAGCCCGAATCAGGAAAGCCACGTGCACCGCCTAGGACAGGATTGTGTCCTACATGCACACATTGGGTCTGGACATGCATGATGCCGAGCACTTCTTCGACCTGCTGGCGAATGACAGAAACCAACAGGACATTTCGAGGGCCCTGCTTGAGCCGAATAAGACTCAAGGTCCCTCCAAACCTCCAAGCACGCAGCGACGAAACGTAGAGTCAATACTTGGCGTGCTTGGTCAATGCATCAGGATACTTCCCCTTTCCGACACTTCTCAATGGGAATGTAGCATGTGTCAACTACGAGCTGTGCAGAGGGGAACATATACGTTGTCTTGAAGTTGCGGCCTGAAGTTTTGGAATCGTTTTGAGCAAGGCTGGCACGCCAAACACTGAAAATGGGCTGGAAGCAAACCCGCCTCTGTTGGTCAGCGGGCGCAAGCAGTAGCCAAGTCTCTGCAGGAAGTCGACATTGACACCTTCATCGAGCACTGCATGAGTATGAAAGGAGCCCTGGCCATATACAATCCGGGGTATGCTGGCTGGTTCCCATCCATGGCAGCTCTTTCGACTTTGGGTGGTTTGGATGCCATCTTGGCATCATTTCTGTCGCGGAAGTTGGACCTTCAACGCCCAGTCCCGCGGCACCCTGCCATGTTGTGTGTGTGTGTGTATGTGTGTGTTTGTGTTTGTATGTGTCCCTGTACGTGCGTGTGTAATAACTTTTCGTGAACTGATTAGCTGGTCTGTGATAGTGTACTCCCGGTTTTGGCTCCATGATCGCTGCTTTTAGACATGAAATCACAAGCTTCATTGCAGTGAGTGATGCCTGCCGCATTACCGGCTCTTTGCGGGTGGTTGCTCACAGCAGTGATACCATTAGTAGTACTGAATTGCTTCTTAGCCCTATGCTACTAGGCACCCACAGGAACACGAACCAGGTGAACAGGATGCACTGCCACTGCCCACCGAGCAAGACTGACCTGAGTTTTGTGTTGCACATGGTGATGTTGTGCAAGCATGGGTCATTACGCCCAAGACATGAGACAGTATCTATATAAATATCTATCTATCCATCTGTACATGTGTATATATAATATATTGTACATAGTTATATATCTGGTAATGATGAAGCTTGTGGCTTTCGGTCGTGTTCGGAGTATCGTCGTCGCTGCCATGGTTAGCACATGTATGTCCATGATGTAACATGTTACATCTCACAGGTGCCAGAACAGCGGCACGTGCAACATCATACATGGCTACGTATGCGCATGTGCGTCGTGTCTGTGTTTGTCGTCCATCTTACGTGCCTTGCAGCATATGCATCGTTAGGATTTCGCGTTCGAACCATAGTTTGGGACATCCTTTGTCGCATGTTTGCTTAGGCCCCACTTCCAAGGCGTGTCTGAGACACTGAGGTCTGGTTGTCTTGCACATAAGCTTTCGTTGTGACTTGCTGACAGCCTTATAAAGGCCCTGAACAACCACCAGACTGAGCCTGACACTGTTGTGGACTGGCGCCAAGGAACGGCTACCGCCATGGATCTGCATAAGCAGATGGTCCAGGTGCGGCATATTTCGTTACACTTTGGCCACGGGTCGTGCGACTGAAGTTAGTGGGCTGCAGCTTTCGGACGTGAAGGTTCTATACTGTGCAGGATGTTGATTTCCAAACTGTGGTCACAAGACAGGGATCTCGTCGTAGATTTTCTGTAGTGTATGAAGACTTGTGCGAGACTGCAGCCCTTGAAGATGCGGCGGGTTCATGCCAGAATACCGGGCAAACTGCGCAGCACATGACATGTGTCTGGCTGGCATGCCATAAGACCACACTCCGCAGACTCCAGTGCTGACGATTCCAAGACTGTACGCCCGCTGAAAAATCCTGTTGGCTACATTGCTCTCATTGGGTTCGATTTTCTTCCGTCATGAAAAATCTTCGTGGATTGTAGTGTAAATGCTGCATATGTGACATCATGAGATTCAACATGTAGCCTATGTAACTCAAAATGCAGAGCAGGATGTCTGGAGATGTCCATAGAGTCTCCGGTTCCACCCACGAAGACATCTCCCATACAAGTCTGCTTGCACATGGTTCATTAGAGCAGGGTTGGAACGGGGACGCTTACTTTGGTATGCTACTCTTAACATGAGTATGTATGCAGCGCACTCTGCAAACAACGCAATCCATGTTATGTATATAGAGCTACATATACCCACAACCAGTAGAAATTGTATACATTGTTTCTAAACTTGTAAAAAGTTCAGGCTACGCGCTCAGCTTCATGCTCCTTCTCTAGGGAGGGTTGCGCATAGAGTTGCCTCGCAGCTCCGACAGAGAGAGCTGGCTACATAACCTTATTGAAGGTGATATGTACTTATGCATCGCAATTATCGTAGTATTGGGGTTTGGGGCTTAGGGTTGAGGGTTTAAGGGTTATTACAAGTCAGTCTTACTTGCTCGGCTCCTGCAGAGTTGGCCAGGTGAACAAGGTCCTCGACAAGCTGACGGCGTGTGACCCAGATTGGGGTTTCTCAGGTCTTTAGGGGTTGGGGTTTAAAGTAAGATAATCGTATTTGGCCCGCATATGAGAGACCCATAGCTAGCCCAAATTCCGAGATACTTACCGAATCTGTCTTCGGTGTGCTTTGCTGCCGCCAGAAAACCGTCAACATCAGCCCTCATGTCCTGAAGCTTGTCGGGGGACACTCTCACCTCACTGCCATAGCGACTATAAAGCCTTTATCTTCCAATGGTGGGCGTTGCGGTTCAAACCAACCTTTACAAGCTCCAGAGCCTGGCAGCTTTGGCCTTTATCATGCCTGTGAGGTAGGAAATTCAAGTCAGCAATCAATCATAATAAGCCAAACCCTTACATTTTGCATTATATATTATAGAGTATAAAATATCAAAAAACACACACATATATATATATATAAATAAATGAAATGTGTATATATATATATATTAAACCATAAGTTATAACTATATATTACGAAGAAGCCCCAAGAACCGAGCTCCAGGCCTGGGAGCTTTCCAACTGGCCGGCGCTCTTTGCGACATTGCAGGCAGGCCTTGGGGCTCTTAACTTAAAGTAACTGAAAAGGGGGTCAGAATAAGTAGTATGTCTGCTTAGGGGTTTAGGGCCTTTTAGGGTTTAGGGGTTTAGGAGCCCTCAAAGCGAGGATACACGTCTTTCCCGGTACAGTCGCTGCAGACCGGATGGAAAAGGGTTGAGGGCTCTGAGGGCCTTCAGAGGGGTCAGAATAATTAGTAGCAATGTTCTTTTTGGGGCTCTTAGACTGGTCAGAATATCAAGTAACAATGTGGGTTTACGGTTTAGGGTTTCGTAGTGATGTCCGCTTTGGCGCCTTTGGAGGGGTCAGAATAGTTAGTAACAATGTCGCCTTATCCCCCCAATGTAACCATGGTAATTGTAATGGCGACATACCCCCAAGCCGCAACTCGAAATGATTCAGGACCCTATGTTACCTTCGGAATGATCGGAACTTAAAACATTTTGCAGATTCATGGTTCGGGCTTTTCTTGCGCAGGCTTGGGGCAAATGGTCTGAGCAGTAGCACTGTAGGCTGCGGAGGTTCCATCGCAAAAAGAGGCGACAGGAGTGCTGCTTCTGGATTGTCATTGACCTGAGGTGGTCCTTGGAGCTCCAGGGCAGTTTAGGAAAGTTTAAGGTTGTAGGCTTAGGGTTTAGGGTTTTTTTGTGGTTTATAGACGTGACTTTAGGGAATGAGGCAATGTGCCGAAAACGGGGCTGACATGGAGTTTGATGCTTTTGCATCCAACAGTGACGTTTGCTTGGGACGCACCTTCAGGCCCATCTGGTTTTTCGAAACGTGTCCAAAAATTGCTAGCTCGGAACCTTGATACTGTACTGTACCCGCCTCACCAAAACCTCACCAAAACGAGAACAAGCTTACTAAAGCAGCAAGTCCCGAAACTCTTGATGTTTCGGCACGAAGCCAAGCCCACGCCCCCGAAGCCTTGACTGAGCACCGGAACGACTACCCACATTCCGAAACCCCGTCAAGCAGCGAAGGAGCAAGGGGAACCGCAGAGGTGATGCCTTCACGACATCTATCCATTTCAGCCGTGGGTCCAGTTCCTTTCAGGGTTTCGGTTTGTGGGTGTTTGAGGCCTTGTAGGGTTCAGGGCTTCGTTTGAGCTTTCGGAGCATTGGGGCTTCTCGGGCTGAGACATGCCCCTCTACCAGCCCCTGATTTTTGAAAGCTCGCTCTTCATCCAACAGGAACTGGCCCCAGTCTGGGATTCCCTGTGCCGCGGCATCGTATGGAATTGGCACACCCGGGCGGGAGTCTGTTGCGAGTTTTTGCAAGATTTGATTTCGTTTGCGCAGAGTTCGCGTATTATTGGTCTGTGCTGATCAACACGAGGTTTTGAGGTGTAGTTTCGGGTGGTTTTCTTGCCTAGCTGTAGCTCTGACACTACATCCTCAGAAGCCTAACTTGTGACATGACTCCTCCTGATCCTGGGAAACAAGTTTTCTTGGAGCAGAGAGTCTTCAAGGCCCCTGCCCTCGAGCAGAAGAGCTGCTCCGTATCGTGTCCAATGCAGCGAGCTTGCCAACATGACGATGAAGCCAATGGCACCTTTTGTTGGGAAAATGTTTTGAATTTGACAGCTCCGTGATCCAACATGAGTAGGTATTAATAGGAGAGACTGAGTTGGCTGCTGCCTACCTGCCGTCGCTCATGCGGCGGGAGTTCGTTGGACCAGCATCTGCCAAAAGAGTGGCATCGGAGTCATTGACAAGCTTTGTGGTATTCGACGGGCCATGTTTCTGATACCAGCGCCCTTCGCATGCAACATCCTGCAACCGAAGCCAACCCATTCATTGCGAGAAGTCAGCACTCAACCCCGGTCAACACTGTCGATATCGGAGCTTTGCGACAAGTGGATGTGGATCCGTGTGTAATGCTGGGGATGCCATGCAGTATTCCTTTGGTAACTAACCTGCATGCCCTGACAATGAGAGCCAAGAACACTTCATGATGGGCTTCATGTTTCGAGGGAGGATTTCCTTGTTCGGTCAAGCTGTCAGAAACACGTCCCGATCACACACAGGCTGCCAGACGCGACTTTCTCGCGTTTCACTCTAGGAAGTTGACCGCCACCCAGTCAAGCTGAAAGGCGGAGACAGATGTTTTCAAGCTGGAGCGAAAGAACATGAGGTGCCATTATCCATTGCAAATGGATTGCCCTCCGAGTGTGCAGACCTAATGCTGCAGGTTCGGTCACACCTGTTGGGAGCACCCTTTTTCAGGTTCTGTGCCGATTATGCTGACACGTCATCGGCCTTTTGTAGGGAAGGGCTAGATGCACGTTATGGAAGTTTGCCCTTTGACTATAGAGTCGACATGAAACGATCCCGGCCACCCCAAGTCCAGCCTTGATCTTCGCTGCAGCTGTGGGATCCGAGAATGCGAGAGCCCAGGAGCAACAAAAAACAGCAGCACAACCCATGTGGACAAACCCATCAAGACCTGGACCTCAATCCAGAAATATGTCGGGCCTGAACCCAACTTCGGTGAGACATCCCAAGGCCCAAGATCCTTGGGTCTCTGCTCAGCCCAAGCTGCCTAAAGAAGCTAAACCACAACTATAGGATACTATAGGTATATTGGTGCTCGGAGGCCAGGCAGTGCAGGTCATGTTGCGCCTTTCGCGCGCGCTTCGTGCAAAGCACCCAAGCTGATTTAAGCCCGCATGTCCAGAAGCCCGATATGTGGAGGAGTGACAGACCGGACAAGTTCATGTTTTTTTTTGCGTGTCTTCCATGTATCAAGAAGAACGTAAAGCAGCCATGGCCCAGACCTGAAAGCACACTGCTTGTTGCTATTCCTGTTGCTGTCGTGTGTTATTGACGCGGAGTGGTCTGCTAAGGGCATCGGCATTCGCCATAGCAGTGGTCATGTATCCGGAGAACAAGACCGATTCTCTTGATTGTCGTATTCCTAATAGATGCATCTCTTACACCCTCCACCAGCACCGGAACCAGCACCACCAGGACCGCCACAGCCACGATCATGAATCGTGACTGTCACTACCGAAATCGTTTTGCGACCATCTTGGGACCTTGCTGTTGGACTACGAGCCCAGGCATTGCCCCTATGCCATCCTGGGAGTTGCTCAAAACGCAAGCACCGAGGACATCAAGCGCGCCTTGGCTGAGGTTGATTCGGGACGTGCGGTACGGGCCTGTAGGTTTTCGGCTTACTGCCCCAGTTTTGCAAATCGGCTTGCCGCAACATGAGCATGAAAAGACGAACGTCCACTGTGTCGCTATGTTCTGAAGAACCCTGCTGCAACAAGAGTTCATGAGATTCGAAAAACTCGCCACATGATGCCTCGGTGCGCCTATCTCAAGCGCAGTGGAGAGCTCACTTGTGATTCAATCGTTCTTGTCGGCCGTATGTGTATACTGTAGGTAATGGTAGGCAAACCTTGTCCCTGGCTCCACCGGCAGTCCCATACCTTGCAGATGTCCGCAGCGTAGACAAGGCAAGTGATAGCTATGAGATGGTGAACCAGTCACCAGGCTTGTTCATCAAGTCATTGTCGTGGTGAACAACATCATCACGCCAACAAGTGGGAAGCGCACACCTGGGTCACAAGCTGATCTGCGTGCCGAAGGTTGCGCCGAAGGTTGCTGACGTGAAACCTATCCAGCAACACGCACGGATGGGCAAATTGATATTTGCCAAACTGATGAGCATACTTCAAGGCTAGGAGTCCTCAGCAGGCTTGGTCACTTGGTCCTTTTTGGCTACAGGCTGTGGTATGGGTGTTCCAGCTTTTGGAAGCCTAATGTACAACCTGGAAAAGACAGAACCTGTAGCATAAGGACCCCCAACAAGCTACCCTGAGCCTGGCTTTGCCGAGTTGTGACTTCCAAATTGCTAAGAAGCCCCCCATCTTTTCTTGAAGCCTCAACCCAAGAGCCATCGTGGCGACTGAAGGTGCCTTCAAGGAGAGGGCGAAAATCACGCATCCGGATGTCGTGAAGGGCAGGGACAAGCATTTCCGAGAAATGGTCCGTGACCCAGGGTTTAGGGTTAAGCAGGTAAGAGGTATAGGTTGCTTCAGCTCGACCTCAAACCTCAAGCCTGAATCTCTCTATATTCTAAGTCGCTTAGCCAGCTTAGTCTCCAGAGTGAGGCTCAAACGACCGGCATGCAGAAGGACTACAGCTGTCGGTGCCAGAGCACTAAAGCAACGGCTCTCAAGGAATGAAACCGCCATCGTTGGCAATATCAATCTAGGAGTCGGCACGATCGTAGTCCGTTCCTGATGCCTTATAGTTAAACCCAATTCTAAATTTTGAGGCTCAAATAAATCTTGTAATTCATTGTCATGAAGGAGCAGCAGCTGAGATTCACACGGCCCAAAGACAAAACTAGCCCTGGACTCTGCGAACGTGAGAGCGCAATGAAGAACAAGACGCGGGACGGACGCTCGGAAAGATGCCAATAATTTCAGGCTGCTGCAAGGATAGCTGCTCTTTAACGGCTTGGAATTTGTTCAAAGCACTGTAGCTCTGTCGTGTTGACGGCGTTTTGTCCAAGAGTCACTCTCATGAGCCTATCGGACCTGACCTACTCTACGCGACTACCCGTACGAGCAGGTTCTCGAACCCAAGCATCGAAGGCTACACCGTGACACGCTAACTTGCCTCCCAGCATAGACTGCCATAGACTGTGTCATAAGAACCATGGTATTGCAAGTACTGTATCGTAACGTCGAAGCCAACTGGCTCACGCTCGTAAGGTTGAAATAGAAACTAAGCCCGGCCCGTTACAGTAACCCTTTATACTGCCTTTATAGCAACCCATCCGGTACCCCTTCTAAATGGTAACCCTTGTATCGTAGTTCCTAGAGCCCTAGAGTGCTCAGGTCGATGCCTATCGGGTCCTCAGGGACCCAAGGAAGCGCGCAGAGCAGCCTGGCCATGAGCATGAGGAAGCCGGGGTGACTATAAGGGCCTGGGGAATTGTGAAGACCATTCCATCAATGACTATAGTAAGAATGACTGGTCGTATTCCCTTAAACTATTGATTATAGTCATAGTCATAGTCCACTTATAGTATCATACAACCCCAAAGCCTTTTGCGAATTATTAAGGCTTGCACATTATGACGGGAGCTCGTAGGGGTCCTTGCTCCTTTGGGATTTCGGCTGTAGTTACTGTAGCTGAGATTCGACGGAAATTGTCGTTAAAAACAACTTCAGCGGTGACCATCGTGGGTTTTCACGGTTCATCATGGGTTTTCACGGTTGCGTTTTCCTTTCACTATCCTTCTCTTGCCTAGCATGTGGGACGGGGGGCCACCCCGCTTTGGCGGCGAGCCACGGACCTTCCTAGGCCACATGACCCCAAACCGTCCGTAACGCGGACCAGGCCTGACTAGCTGGACAAGGCCGTAGACTAGTTACGCAATGCGACGGCTTCAAAACATACACGGACCTCAAGCTCTGCACTTGGTACCGAGCTGAGCTGATGCAGATTTCGTCGGTTGGTATCCGGTAGGTTGCGGCTTCTCGCATATTCGCTTGCTACCACCAGCCTCTTTATGGCTCGTAGCATGTGTCAGGAATGGAAGGAAAAGGGAGTGCTTTCCGAACCAATGGAAAGCAAAGAACAGCTACTGAGTCATGCATGATGGCCCGCTAAGGCTGCTAAAGTACACAGCCTTGTCCGGCAACACACCCGAAGCACGACCACGACGCTCAGACGAAGCCATCAGTGTCGCCACCTCTTCCTGAATTGCCTGAAGCTCTAAATGTGTTCGAGCCTTTGCTGCTTAGGCATGACCGAGAGGTGCGGTGCTGAGGGCCCGGGCAAACAAGACTACTCCAGAGGGAGCGGTTACAGGCATCGAGTCGTGGCATCATGCTACCAGTGTCGTGTCATCCGTATGCTAAAAAACACTGCGACGAGTATAGCTGCACTTTTGGCTGCGACGACCATGTCCTCGACGACGACCGCGATGACCGCGAAGGGGAACTGTAGCTACTACCGGAACATGACTGAGGTCGCGAAGCAACGGGGCGAGCCTGATCTCAGCGACGGGTGGCCCCGTGGCGAAGGCCGAGCTGATCAGTGAAGCAAGGAGATTCTAAGTTGTGGTGTGAGGTTTGTAGTTCGATAGCAGCTTCTAGGAAAGAGGCTCCCGGCCTGGGGTCCGCGGTCACAGTGAAGATCGACCAAGAAGACGTAGCTTGTGCACGTGTCAGGGTGCATGTCCTGACGTGATGATCCGATTGTTTTGAGGGCGATGAGGGCATTTGAGGGCTGATCTCTTGGAGGATCCCGTTCTGACATGTCGCACGTCACACGTGCCTGCATGTATTCTCTGCTGTCTCTTTCCCGACATGATTTAGAGAAGGTATTGGTCTGTCTTGTGGGTCAAGCTGGGCAGTAAGGGCAGCAGTCGAGTCCCTTGTGAAAAAAATTGGTCAGTGTTGTCAATCTTGGTTGGTTTATCCTGCCGAAATTCACAGTCATACACGCTTCTCGCTTCACCCTAAAATCAGGGGCTGATGAAGTCGCCCCTCCCAGCACTACCCCCCTGAAGCTTGCTAAAGCTGCTAAAGATTGCACACCACGGGCTGATGGACAGAAGCGTAATTAATGCTAGTTGGGCTTAATTAGGCTTAAGCTTAATTAGGCTCAATGAAGCGAAACTGAGCTAGACAGACTCGGCAATGTCGTAGGAGGTTTGGGGATATAGAATGATGTGTGGGATTAGTTCCATGTTGGGAAGTGGTAAGTACTCCAGGTCCTAATTAGGTCTGGCACCGAGATCCTGAGTCTTGTGCCCCAAGCCCAAATCAACCTATCAGCCAAACAAGCCCTTTTCCAAAAAGCCCGAAGCCCTCAGAGTAAAGCAGCTGACCAACCTTGCCTAAACCGAACTAAGCCCGATTACGCCCTTAAAGCCCGAAGCCCTAAGCCACTCGTCTGGCGGAATCCTCGCCTGTCTTCAGCGAGCATGAGAGTGGAAGCCCCGTTATATGCCCGNNCCCCCCCCCCCCCCCCCGACCCATCTCAACGAGGCCAGGGCCTTTCCGAAGCGGCCCGCGCGAAGCTCTACAACTATCCGGCAACCGCCTCAGCCATCTTTAGATGGATCCTTGAGTGACATGTAGAACTAAAGCTGAAACGTAAGCAGCTCTATCAAATCTTGCATCTTAAGCTGCCTCCTGTCACCTTGTTTACAGAGCCTTTTGATGTTTCAGTGTTGTTACGTTGACCAGCCGGTTTGAACTATGGAGACCAATAGCCAGACAGTCTACCAAGATACATAAGACGGGATTACTTTGCAGAGAGCATGCCGTGCCAGTATATGTTCTGCAGGCGATGTGATAAAACAAGCAGAACTATCTTAACCTGCGCGAAATTGATGGTTCCAGCTTGCCCCCTCCCGCACAACAGTCCAGGAAGCATCCCTGAACTCGAAGGCATCTTCCTAGCACGACATTCCTCTTCCCCCCCATGCTTCCTTGAGCTCTCCCCACTATGGGGCGTTCAACAGAAAGAGTCCAGAGGTAGGCAACTTCCTGAAAGGTCCATTTCAAAGGGATCCAAGCATGCAGCCCAGTAGTTTGCGATCTTGGTACCTTCTCGAAGGCCCAAAATCCTGAGTCGTTTGGGAACCCCGGTTCAGGGCGCGTGAAAGCTTCACCATCAGATCAGCGAATATCCGACCCTAATAGACAGGAAATCAGGCTTCGGAGTTCCTTCCTGCCAGAAACTCCTATTGCTCAAACCCCAGACGCCTTTCGGTCGAGGTGGGCGGTGCAGGGCCCCGCTCCCGAAGCCAACACAGATACAGTGGGCAAGGCACAGCAGGCATGCAAGGCAGGATGCCGCGTGCATCTCTCATGGTGAATGGGTGGTCCCGAACTTGCTGAGCCGAGAGCTTCATTATGCTTAATGTAGGGGCCTGAATAGTTTGACCTGCCTGAGAAGCGGCTCGAGTGATTGATTCTATGGTGCTGTGTGCAAGGCGCACCAGATGCTTCCGGAGCCTGAGTACATTGAAGTGTTGTTTGCCTCAAAATGCCCTCATCAAGGCCTCGCCTGGCCCTTTCGTCCGAGGATAAAGCCATCCAAAGCCGGTGCATTTTGCCGAAAAAGATGATGTCAAGGTTCTGTTCTGTATACACAAAATTAGGTCTCGGTCCATCGGGCCTAGGGTTCGGCCGTCGTCTGGCTAGACTTGGGTCCCGAAAGCAAGAGAGGGGGTTTAGGCCAGGGAGGCTCAAGAAACTGCAAAGAAAACGGGCTCTGTTCTGAAATTTTCCCAACAGTAGCGGCCACATTGCACAGGTTCTAGCACGCTGCAGGAAGCCCGTGCCCTACCAGTGCTCATCAATTGATTCTCCGCGCATTGAAGTCAACGGCAAAGATTCGCTAAAAACCTGGCCAACGGCAGATCGCAGCGCATTATCCTTCAGCATGGTACTTGCGGGCCAACCGGAATTAGCTCTCACGGTGAGCCTCAGGAGCCTTATATAGACAGGCCCATGCTGCTGTGTCAAATTACAACCGTCTCCTGCTCAGGTCGCGCCGATGTTCTTCTTTGCCCTCTTGGGCTGCCTCTTCGCCTACAAGCACTACCAAGCCAACGACCGACAGAAGCCAAAGTAACAACGATAGTCAGAACCAATTATGACGTAATACATTCTAATACGCCGTGGTAATCCTGATATGTAAGATCACATGAGCATGAAAGGGACATTGTGGCCGTAGTCAGATGCCGGGAACAAGTTGGAATTTGAAGAGCTGTCCGTGACTTTTCTACTTGTATCATGTGCTGTCCGGATTTGTGTTAAGCCATACCGTTCAATGCTACCAGTAACTATTCAACGCAATCAGGTGCCGCAGTTTAGAGTTACGGGTTCTGATGCTAGCGAACGTAGTTGTCAAGGTTGATATTTGATTAGACTCGTAGGTCATAGGAATGTACAGCGGTTCGCTTCTCGGCATGCAGGACGAGAGCAAGTTGCGTCCCGAGCTCTACTCTATGCGCGCACCGGTCTCTCCGGCATGTAGTTGGAGTGCGGCGCGTACC